TTTGGGCAGCAGCTGGTTCGACAGGTCCTCCCCGTGGCCCAGGCGGCCGTCCTCGCCCTTGCCCCAGGTAAACACGGCGCCGTCGGCGGTGATGGCGAGGCTGTGGAGGAGTCCAGCCGACACAGCGACGACGCGCTGCCCAGCGAAGGCCTCGACCTTCTTGGGCAGCAGCTGGTCCTGCTGGTCGCCGTGGCCTAGCTGGCATTGGCCTCCATAGCCCCAGCTCCAGACGCTGCCGTCGGCGGTGAGGGCGAGGCTGTGGCGACCTCCAGCCGACAGAGCGACGACGCGCTGCCCAGCCAACGCCACGACCTTCTTGGGCAGCAGCTGGTCCTGCTCGTCGCCGTGGCCCAACCGGCCAGAGTATCCCCAGCCCCAGCTCCAGACGGCGCCATCGGCGAAGAGGGCGAGGCTGTGGTTGCTTCCACCCGAAACAGCGACGACGCACCGGCCAGCAAAGGCCTCGACCTTTTTGGGAAGCAGCTGGCGCCCTGCCCGCCGGGCGGGGTCGCGCTGCAGCAGCGTGCGGAGCAGCGCGCGCGCCGGCCACTTGAGGTGGCGCGGGTAGGCTGGCTCGTCGTACAGGATGGCGCGGCTCATGCGGTGCGGGTCGCGGTGGTAAAAGGGCGGCACGCCCGTCAGCATCTCGAAGAGCAGCGTGCCGAGCGCCCAGTAGTCGACTGCAGTCCCGTGCCCCGCGCCGCTCAGCACCTCTGGCGCCATGTACGCGGGCGATCCGCACAGCGACCGCGCGCCGTCCGGCAAGCGCGAGATGCCCTCGCGCGCGAGGCCGAAATCGGAGACGACCGCGTGGCCCTGCGCGTCGAGCAGGATGTTCTCCGGCTTCAGGTCGCGGTACGCCACGTCTGCGGCGTGCAGCGCTTGCACGGCGAGCAGCACCTCGGCCGTGTAGAGGCAGGAGCGCGCGAGGGAGAAGAAGCCCTCGCGCCGCAGGTGGTCGTACAGCTCGCCACCGGGATAAAACTCGAGCACCAGCGCGATCGAGCTCGGCGTGGCGACGCTCGAGTGCAGCCGCGCGACAAATGGGTGGCGGAGCCGCTGCAGCACGCGCCGCTCGACAATCGCGCGCCGAGCGCCGGTCGGGTCGTCGCTGGCCAGCTTCATCGCATATGACTGGCCGCCCGGGGCTCGGACGAGCACGACGCGCGCGTGGGCGCCGACGCCCAGGATTCGCACCGGAGCAAAGTCGCCGAGCGCCAGCTCGAGCGGCGGGTCTGCCGCGGCGGCGCCACGGGCCTCGTCGAGATCCCGCGCGTCGTCGTCGAGGTACTGCGAGTAGTAGCGCTCGTCGGCGAGCTCGTCTCGCGCCACGCAGCAGCAGCCCGCGCAAAGGGGCATTCCGAGACGCGCGTCCGTTTGGGTTCGCCCTCTGGGGGTAGGGATCCCGACCGTGCGGCGACGCGCGGGACCGCCTGTGGCGAGGTGGGTCGCGTCCCCGGATTTCCTCAACTCACGGTCCGCTCCCTCTACACGAGAGAGAGAGCCTAGAGAACATGTATGGCCGAGCAGGTGGTTGGTTGGCGTGGGGGCATGCCCGCCGGCACACTTGCCGGCGGGCGCCGGGGTCTCTTCGGGTAGGGGGGTATGGGAGCGGGACAGTCGACAGACACGCCTGGGTTCGGCTCCAGTGCGCTGCGCGTGGGTGCCTTGGCTCTTGTGCGTGAGTGAAGTGCATCATTCCGTGAGACGTGAGAGACGTGGACTCGATCAACCCGACATCCCTGACTCCGCGAGAGGCATGTGCGTGCGTCTCACCGACACCGTCACTCATCGCACAAACTCGATCCACCCGACATTCCCGCGGGAGACGACGCCGGCCCGCGGGCGAATAAGTACCCGCCCGCAGTCTCCAGGCCCGCGGGCGACATCAGTCCCCTCAGTCTCACGGCCCCCGAAACCCTCGGCGCGGGTCCGACCCACGTCAGCCGCACATCAGTCGTCACGAGTTCGAGCCGAACGTGCCGGATCCCGCAGGTGACTACCGCAGCAGCGACATGCGCTCGAGTGCGTACGGAGCGGGACCCTCACCCCGCGGTGACTGAGTGGGCGAGGCCCACGATGTCGTCGCCCGGCGAGTAGGAGGAGAAATTCATCCGGGTCGCGCCGGGCTTTGGCGGCCCGCCGGTCACGTCGAGAAAGTTCTTGCCGTTGACGCCGCCGCTGGGGAGGAGATGGAAGAGGTTCGCCTCCGCCGATCCCCGCGGCGCGTCGGGGTTGGCCTTGAGGCCACCGACGAGGGAGGTGCCCGCGGACTGAGTGACTGTGAGCCGGCGCCGCATGTGCAGAGGGTGGAGCCGCGACGCACTGGGAATTATTTTTTCGTGGCTCTAGAGGCCTCCAGTGACGCGACAGGCTCGTTTCTCCTCCCGCCGCCGCCACCTCCCGCCGCCCGTCCACCGTCGCCCGTCGGACCGCCGTCCCGCCCCTCCGCGCAGATGGCTGCTCGTCGCCTCGTGCCGCTGCTCGACCGTGTGCTCGTCCAGCGCATCGAGCCGCCGACCAAGTCGATCGGCGGTGTGCTGCTGCCCGAGTCGACGCAGAGCAAGCTCAACGAGGGCGTGGTGATTTCGGTGGGGCCGGGCCGGCGGGACAAGGAGGGGTCGCTGCTGCCGATGGGCGTCAAGGTCGACGACAAGGTGATGCTGCCGCAGTACGGCGGCAACGAGGTGACGCTGGGCGACGAGGACTATGTGCTCTTCCGCGACGAGGACATCCTGGGCGTGCTGGCGGACAAGTAGGCGGCGGGCAGAGCGTACCGCCGTGCAGTCCCCGCCAGCGGCCTTCCACCTCCGACGGCCGGCCTGCATGGGGCTTCTCCGCTCTCCTTGGCGCCGCCGCCGCCGCGCTGTGCGCCGCCCGGGCTCGCTTTGGCCCTTCGCCGCGTTGGCCCCACGCCGCTCGTAGATCGGGAGGAGGGGGATGGGCAGGGAAACGTGCGGGTGCCGGCGTGTATTCGACGATT